CGAGCATTTTTGGCACTGTCATATTTTGAATTTTGAAAATTAAATTAGGGCAGAGTATACATTAATGCATGCTCTTTTCAACTGTTACACGGATTTTACATTCATGTTCAACTAAACGAGCTACAGCGTCGCAAAGTAACGTATACATTGGTGAATTCGTATAAAAGTCAAATTGTGACGAGCATTTTTGGCACTGTCAGATTTTGAATTTTGAAAATTAAATTAGGGCCATGTGAAGACGAAAGCATGCTCTTTCCAACTGTTATCACGGATTTTAGATTCTTTTTCAACTAAACGAGCTACAGCGTCGCAAAGTAACCTCTACATTTGTGAATTCGTAAAAAATTCAAACTTTCGCGTGCCATTTTTGGCACTGTCAGATTTTGAATTTTGAAAATTAAATCAGGGCCGAGTATACATTAATGCATGCTCTTTTCAACTGTTATCACGGATTTCACATTCATGTTCAACTAAACGAGCTACAGCGTCGCAAAGTAACATCTACATTGGTGAATTCGTATAAAATTCAATCTTAGGCGGTCATTTTTGGCACTGTCAGACTTTGAATTTTGAAAATTAAATTAAGGCCGAGTATACATTAATGCATGCTCTTTTCCACTGTTATAACGGATTTCACATTCATGTTCAACTAAATGAGCTACAGCGTCGCAAAGTAACGTCTACATTGGTAAATTCGTATAAAATTCAAACTTTGACGGCCATTTTTGGCACTGTCAGATTTTGAATTTTGAAAATTAAATTAAATCCGAGTATACATTAATGCATGCTCTTTTCAACTGTTATCACGTATTTTAGATTCTTCTTCAACTAAACGAGCTAAAGCGTCGCAAAGTAACATCTACATTGGTGAATTCGTATAAAATTCTTACTTTGGCGGTCATTTTTGGCACTGTCAGACTTTGAATTTTGACAATTAATTTGGGGCCCTGTATACACTAAAGCATGCTCTTTTCACATGTTATCACGGATTTTACATTCATGTTCAACTAAACGAGCTACAGCGTCGCAAAGTAACGTCTACATTGGTGAATTCGAATAAAATTCAAACTTTGACGGCCATTTTTGGCACTGTCAGACTTTGAATTTTGAAAATTAATTTAATGCCATGTATACACTAAAGCATGCTCTTTTCATCTGTTATCACGGATTTTACATTCATGTTCAACTAAACGAGCTACAGCGTCGCAAAGTAACGTCTACATTGATGAATTCGTATAAAATTCAAATATTGACGGCCATTTTTGGCACTGTCAGGTTTTGAATTTTGAGAAATAATTTGAGCCGGGTGTACACAAAAGCATGCTCTTTCCAACTGTTATCACGGATTTTAGATTCTTCTTCAACTAAACGAGCTAGAGTGTCGCAAAGTAACGTCTACATTGATGAATTCGTATAAAATTCAAACTTTGACCGCCATTTTTGGCACTGTCAGATTTTGAATTTTGAAAATTAAATCAGGGCCGAGTATACATTAATGCATGCTCTTTTCAACTGTTATCACGGATTTCACATTCATGTTCAACTAAACGAGCTACAGCGTCGCAAAGTAACATCTACATTGGTGAATTCGTATAAAATTCAAACTTTGACGGCCATTTTTGGCACTGTCAGATTTTGAATTTTGAAAATTAAATTAGGGCCGAGTATACATTAATGCATGCTCTTTTCAACTGTTATCACGGATTTCACATTCATGTTTAACTAAACGAGCTACAGCGTCGCAAAGTAACGTCTACATTGGTGAATTCGTATAAAATTCAAACTTTGACGGCCATTTTTGGCACTGTCAGATTTTGAATTTTGAAAATTAAATTAGGGCCGAGTATACATTAATGCATGCTCTTTTCAACTGTTATCACGGATTTCACATTCATGTTTAACTAAACGAGCTACAGCGTCGCAAAGTAACGTCTACATTGGTGAATTCGTATAAAATTCAAACTTTGACGGCCATTTTTGGCACTGTCAGATTTTGAATTTTGAAAATTAAATTAGGGCCGAGTATACATTAATGCATGCTCTTTTCAACTGTTATCACGGATTTCACATTCATGTTTAACTAAACGAGCTACAGCGTCGCAAAGTAACGTCTACATTGGTGAATTCGTATAAAATTCAAACTTTGACGGCCATTTTTGGCACTGTCAGATTTTGAATTTTGAAAATTAAATTAGGGCCGAGTATACATTAATGCATGCTCTTTTCAACTGTTATCACGGATTTCACATTCATGTTTAACTAAACGAGCTACAGCGTCGCAAAGTAACGTCTACATTGGTGAATTCGTATAAAATTCAAACTTTGACGGCCATTTTTGGCACTGTCAGACTTTGAATTTTGAAAATTAAATTAAGGCCGAGTATACATTAATGCATGCTCTTTTCCCCTGTTATCACGGATTTCACATTCATGTTCAACTAAACGAGCTACAGCGTCGCAAAATAACCTCTACATTTGTGAAATCCGATGAATTTGTTTATTTCGCGTGCCTTTTTGGCACTATTAGATATTTAATTTTGAAAATTCAATGAAGTCGCAGTATACACTATTGTATGGTCTTTCCAACTGTTATCAGGGATTTTAGATTCTTCTTCAACTAAACGAGCTACAGCGTCGCAAAGTAACATCTACATTGATGAATTCGTATAAAATTCAACCTTTCACGTCCATTTTTGGCACTGTCAGATTTTGAATTTTGAAAATTAAATTAGGGCCGAGTATACATTAATGCATGCTCTTTTCCGCTGTTATCACGGATTTCACATTCATGTTCAAGTAAACGAGCTACAGCGTCGCAAAGTAACGTCTACATTGTTGAATTCGTATAAAATTCAAACTTTGACGGCCATTTTTGGCACTGTCAGATTTTGAATTTTGAAAATTAAATTAGGGCCGAGTATACATTAATGCATGCTCTTTTCAACTGTTATCACGGATTTTACATTCATGTTTAACTAAACGAGCTACAGCGTCGCAAAGTAACGTCTACATTGGTGAATTCGTATAAAATTCAAACTTTGACGGCCATTTTTGGCACTGTCAGATTTTGAATTTTGAAAATTAAATTAGGGCCGAGTATACATTAATGCATGCTCTTTTCAACTGTTATCACGGATTTCACATTCATGTTTAACTAAACGAGCTACAGCGTCGCAAAGTAACGTCTACATTGGTGAATTCGTATAAAATTCAAACTTTGACGGCCATTTTTGGCACTGTCAGATTTTGAATTTTGAAAATTAAATTAGGGCCGAGTATACATTAATGCATGCTCTTTTCAACTGTTATCACGGATTTCACATTCATGTTTAACTAAACGAGCTACAGCGTCGCAAAGTAACGTCTACATTGGTGAATTCGTATAAAATTCAAACTTTGACGGCCATTTTTGGCACTGTCAGATTTTGAATTTTGAAAATTAAATTAGGGCCGAGTATACATTAATGCATGCTCTTTTCAACTGTTATCACGGATTTCACATTCATGTTTAACTAAACGAGCTACAGCGTCGCAAAGTAACGTCTACATTGGTGAATTCGTATAAAATTCAAACTTTGACGGCCATTTTTGGCACTGTCAGATTTTGAATTTTGAAAATTAAATTAGGGCCGAGTATACATTAATGCATGCTCTTTTCAACTGTTATCACGGATTTCACATTCATGTTTAACTAAACGAGCTACAGCGTCGCAAAGTAACGTCTACATTGGTGAATTCGTATAAAATTCAAACTTTGACGGCCATTTTTGGCACTGTCAGATTTTGAATTTTGAAAATTAAATTAGGGCCGAGTATACATTAATGCATGCTCTTTTCAACTGTTATCACGGATTTCACATTCATGTTTAACTAAACGAGCTACAGCGTCGCAAAGTAACGTCTACATTGGTGAATTCGTATAAAATTCAAACTTTGACGGCCATTTTTGGCACTGTCAGATTTTGAATTTTGAAAATTAAATTAGGGCCGAGTATACATTAATGCATGCTCTTTTCAACTGTTATCACGGATTTCACATTCATGTTTAACTAAACGAGCTACAGCGTCGCAAAGTAACGTCTACATTGGTGAATTCGTATAAAATTCAAACTTTGACGGCCATTTTTGGCACTGTCAGATTTTGAATTTTGAAAATTAAATTAGGGCCGAGTATACATTAATGCATGCTCTTTTCAACTGTTATCACGGATTTCACATTCATGTTTAACTAAACGAGCTACAGCGTCGCAAAGTAACGTCTACATTGGTGAATTCGTATAAAATTCAAACTTTGACGGCCATTTTTGGCACTGTCAGATTTTGAATTTTGAAAATTAAATTAGGGCCGAGTATACATTAATGCATGCTCTTTTCAACTGTTATCACGGATTTCACATTCATGTTTAACTAAACGAGCTACAGCGTCGCAAAGTAACGTCTACATTGGTGAATTCGTATAAAATTCAAACTTTGACGGCCATTTTTGGCACTGTCAGATTTTGAATTTTGAAAATTAAATTAGGGCCGAGTATACATTAATGCATGCTCTTTTCAACTGTTATCACGGATTTCACATTCATGTTTAACTAAACGAGCTACAGCGTCGCAAAGTAACGTCTACATTGGTGAATTCGTATAAAATTCAAACTTTGACGGCCATTTTTGGCACTGTCAGATTTTGAATTTTGAAAATTGAATGAGGGCCTAGTATACATTAATGCATGCTCTTTTCAACTGTTATCACGGATTTTATATTCATGTTTAACTTTACGAGCTGCAGCGTCGCAAAGTAACCTCTACATTTGTGAAATCCGATGAATTTGAATATTTCATGTGCCTATTTGGCACTATTAGATATTTAATTTTGAAAATTCAATTAGATCGCAGTATTCACTACTGCTTGTTCTTTCCAACTGTTATCACGGATTTTAGATTCTTCTTCAACTAAACGAGCTATAGCGTCGCAAAGTAACGTCTACATTCGTGAATTCGTATAAAAAAAGTTGTTTCTTTTATTTAGATTTCCTGGATGAGGAAGCGGGACTTGCATATTCTGACTTCAAGCATCCACACGTATACTGGAGATGGTAGGTTTAGCGTCCATCATCCAGAAAACAGCGACGATTGGGATCTCCAGATCGAGTACGTACAGAGGCGGGACTCTGGGATTTACGAGTGTCAAGTCAACACCGAACCAAAAATCAACATGAGGGTGGAACTCCACGTCGAAGGTATAAATTCTTTTCCAACATAGTCATCGGTGCTGTTGTTGTTGCTTTTTTCTGATCATTATTGTAAGCGACTTGTGCCTTTTAATTTAGTTTTAATATTGTTAAATCCGATCTTTTTATAGTTCACTTGCAGTAGATATCTTTTTATTGTACTTTTATAATACGAATTTATTGAAAAGTAATTCAGACCCACGGATATTTAGATTCTTTTTTAGTTGTTGTAATCGTTAATGAGAACGTGTAGTAATTCATAATCAATCTATTGAAATTCTAGTCGGGTGTAGGGCCAAATGCATTGGGGAATTGTCCCTCAATTCCCAGCCGTAGTCTCCCGAACCAGCCGTATAATCTGGACTCATGAGCGTTTGTCCTATATTAATTGCCAGCATAATCTCTTACTGTACAAACTGTTCTTGTATTCGCATCAGTCAGTTAGTTGAAACAACATTGTCAGCTTGCAGCACCATGAATACCTAATTTGTTAAATTCTGCGGCTGTTACAATTAATTATATATGTAATTTATAGTATTCAATTAACCAACAACTGATTTCTTGGGTTTTCAAGTGGGCACATAAGATTAAACTTCATTTACAGATAGTTAATTAAAGGGTAACGAAGTGAACTATAAAAATTTCTGTTTTTACATATTATTATTTAGTGCATTTATTGTTTAATTAAATTTCGATTTGTATGCTTCAAATTCGTTGTTATTTATTTATTTATTTGTTTGTCTGATTCAATTTGATCGTTGTATAGATTTAGTTTATAATTTAAGTGATATTTATTATTTATTTGTTGTATATCAACAATTAATTTATCACATTTGCATGTGCTATCGCATTTATTTCGTTTGTATTTTTTTATTGTAAACTTATTACACTTTGCAATTTACTTACCCCTTACACACGTAGGTGTTAAACAAGACACTCACATTTACCCTTATATAAATACACTTGTGCAATTTTGTAGGGAGTGTAATGTATTTTACCTTTTTATTAATCTATTTTTTTTTTTGTAAGTATAATACACAACACACCCCCAACAAAACTGCACAAAACACTTTATATTTTAAATTATTCACTTTTTGTATATTATTTNTCTGTACCCCAATCGGGGAATTGTCCCTCAATTCCCAGCCGTAGTCTCCCGAACCAGCCGTATAATCTGGACTCATGAGCGTTTGTCCTATATTAATTGCCAGCATAATCTCTTACTGTACAAACTGTTCTTGTATTCGCATCAGTCAGTTAGTTGAAACAACATTGTCAGCTTGCAGCACCATGAATACCTAATTTGTTAAATTCTGCGGCTGTTACAATTAATTATATATGTAATTTATAGTATTCAATTAACCAACAACTGATTTCTTGGGTTTTCAAGTGGGCACATAAGATTAAACTTCATTTACAGATAGTTAATTAAAGGGTAACGAAGTGAACTATAAAAATTTCTGTTTTTACATATTATTATTTAGTGCATTTATTGTTTAATTAAATTTCGATTTGTATGCTTCAAATTCGTTGTTATTTATTTATTTATTTGTTTGTCTGATTCAATTTGATCGTTGTATAGATTTAGTTTATAATTTAAGTGATATTTATTATTTATTTGTTGTATATCAACAATTAATTTATCACATTTGCATGTGCTATCGCATTTATTTCGTTTGTATTTTTTTATTGTAAACTTATTACACTTTGCAATTTACTTACCCCTTACACACGTAGGTGTTACACAAGACACTCACATTTACCCTTATATAAATACACTTGTGCAATTTTGTAGGGAGTGTAATGTATTTTACCTTTTTATTAATCTATTTTTTTTTTTGTAAGTATAATACACAACACACCCCCAACAAAACTGCACAAAACACTTTATATTTTAAATTATTCACTTTTTGTATATTATTTATCATACTTGCATGCGTCATTGTATTTATTTTTCTTGTATTTTTTTACCGTAAATGTTACCCAAGACACATACACTTACCCTTATATAACTACACTTCAATTTCTACACTTAACTTACACATTTTACACCAACCACCTTCCATAAATTGTGCAATATTGTAGGGGGTGTTATGTAAAATATGTACGTTTTTATAAGTATAATACATAGTAACACCCTCGACAAAGTTCCACAAAACACTTTATATTTTAGATTGATTATTTCTTGTGTATTGTTTATATTACTTGCATGTGCTATTGTATTTATCTTTCTTGTATTTTTTATTATAAACTTGTTGTAATTTATTTACCCCCTACACACATACACACAACACACTTTTCATTCCAATCCTTTCAAATTTACATAAATCACCCTATCATCAAGTCATATCCATTTTGTGTGGGTATTTTGTGCACTTTTGTAGGAACCGTTATGTGTTATTCGCTTTTATAATTAAATTAATTAATTAAATAAATTAATTAAATAATACACAACAAACCCTCAAAATTACGCAAAACACTCTCACAATCACCCTACTCACATGGCCCTTCTTCATGAGGGTGCTGTGTGTAATACTATAGGTGTGTGATGCATATAATTGTAATGTACAACACTCCCTAAAAAATTACACAAAGCACCCAATATAAAGCACCCCATACATCATACACACCACAGTTCATCTTATAACTCTACACACCACCCCACATTTGTGTGGTTGTCTTGTCTAATTTTATAGGGCTGTAATGTATATAATTCTAATATACACTACTCTCTATAAAATTACACAATGCACCCATTATAAAGCACCCCATACATAATATCCTAACACAACTCGCTTCCCCATACAATCCTATGCAGAACTCCTCATTTGTGTGGGTGTTTTGTCTAATTTTATAGGGGTGTAATGTATATAATTGCAATATACAATACTCCCTAAAAAATTACACAAAGCACCCCACACACAATATCCTACACGCCTCACTTCCCCCTACAATCCTACGCACAACCCCACATGCGTGTGGGTGTTTTGTGTAATTTTGTAGGGGGTGGTATGTCTGATAATGGACATAACACCTCCTACAAAAATTACACAAAACACCCAGCGCAAAACCCCTTCCCAATCTCCATCACCTAACCCCCACACACAAAACCCTAGACCCCAACCCTGAATCCAACATCTGTACCCCAATCCCCACACCTGTACCCCAAACCCCACACCTCAACCCCCGAAACCCCACACACCATACCCCAACCCCACACGGAAAAGAAATAAAGGAGGATATATATATATTATATGTTTTATTTATATATTAAAAAGTGACAAAAAATGCTGAAAAAAATTGGCGGACTAGTGCGTTAACTTTTGTGAGTCCCGGAGGCTCCGGGTCTTGGGTCGGAGGTTGTCCCCCAGAACATCGGAGTCCTGGAGCATTCAGAGTTCCAGTTCATTGAGGGCTGTGGATCGTAAGAATTTCGACATATCGAAATTTAAGGATTTCAAAGTATCGGACACGAAAAACCAAAGATTCGGTATATTATACCGAGTCTTTGATGTTTCGATGCCCCATACTTCGAAGTCCCGAAGTTCCGATACGTCGAAGTTCTTACCATCCAAGCCCTCGATGTTCCAGAACCCTGATGTTCCAGGATTCCGATGTTCCAGGACTTCCCCCTTCCAACCCCGGAGTTTCCAGTCCCCACGAATGGATGACGGGGCGAAGACACTCCCGGTGGTTCGACGACACTGCCGGAATTCCCGACGCTGAAAATAAAAGAGAAAAATTAATTATTTGTTGTTAATTAATAAGATTAAAGATTACTATTTGATTAGAAACAAAAATTGAGTTAAATAACTACTGAAAGGTATTTTCATAACGTTTTTACTTACCGTTCTACGATCCTGGTGATCTTGGTGATAAGATATCCTGATGATCCTGGCGTTGGTGATGGTCCTGTAGTGTTGACTCTGAAAGGAATAAAAAAAGTTGAATTATTCGTTAATAAAGTCAAAACTTATTGCCTAAGGAAAATAAAATCACTTCTATTTATAATAAAATAAGCAAACTGTTTATTAATTATCAAAATATAATTTTCAATCGTTTTACCTATGGTCCTGTAGTCCTGGCGAGTCCCAGTTCCACGATTGAAAGATAATCCTGATGATCCTGGCGTTGGTGATGGTCCTGTAGTGATCCATCCTGAAAGGAATGAAAGAAAGTTAAACAAAACAATAGAAAATAATAATGCATTAAACCATTTCTCATGTACTCCAAGTAATGCTAAATTTTTTATTCAAAATGCTGTTTGCACTTTACTTTTTTCGTGAATGTTACAAAGAATTTTAAGGGAAACAGTACCTACAAAATATTTTATGCCTTTATGCTTTTAGCAAGTTATTTCTGGAAAATATGTTTCCATATATAAAATTTTTGCATTGCTAAGACTGAACATTTTTAATCTAAATATCTGTAAGGGAATTTTTTAAATAAAATTGCAAAAGTCTACAGTATGAATTTGTTTAAATATTATCTTTACTAAATATCTTTTCCCAGATGTTAGAATTTTGCCTTAAATTGTTTCAGATGCTCAAGCAGCTATAACAGGTCCAACTGAAGTGTTTGTCAAAAAAGGAAGCACAATATCGCTGACATGTTCTGTGAACGTCCACTCAAACCCACCATCATCAGTCCTGTGGTATCATGGATCATCCAAAGTCGATTTTGACTCGCCCAGGGGTGGAATTAGTTTAGAAACGGAAAAGACAGAAGCGGGCACCACGAGCAAGCTACTTATCACCAAGGCTTTGCTGTCCGACTCTGGAAATTACACTTGTCAGCCGTCCAACGCCAGTCCTGCATTCACCATTGTCCACGTACTTAATGGTAAATGTTTGATTTATTATTATCTGAAACCAAAGTATAGCCATTAGCTACTTAAAGTGACCTAAAACTTGATACTATTTTCAAACAAACTAAAGAAATATTCTTATTTTATTTTAAGTTGCCAAAAAAGTATTTAGTTGTTATATATAATTATTTTGTAGCCGAAAACAAGATACTTTTAAAGTCAAACAAACGTCAGCAAAAGTTATTTAAAATTTTGGTGAAGGCGCCGGGGCAATTTAAAATAACTGTAACTGAGCTGTAATTCAGATTTCATAGAGGTAGATTAATGAATTATATTCTTTAAAATATATTTTTTTCATATACATGCAGTTAGGAATACTAATTTTTATTCTTTTTTGTAATTAAAGCACAATTTGTAATATAACATATAGACGACAACCCAACATACACCAAATATTACAACTCTAGTAATGTAACTATAAAAAAAGTTAAAAAACATTTTTCTTCATGAAAATAACGTTTTTCGTGAAATTTAACANTCATCACTAAAATATACTCTTTCCCTATACATCCAGTAAGGAATCCTAATTGATATAGTTTTTTATAATTAAACCACATTTTGTAGTATAATATATAGACGGCAACCCAACATACACCAAATATTACAACCCTAGTAATGTAACTTAATGTAACTACAAAAAAAGAAAATAACGTTATTCATGAAATTTAATACTGTTTAAAACAAACTACATAATATGACGTAGAAATAATTAATTAATTAATAATAATTTTGCAATATTTTTACATATTTTTAGTTGGAGTTGCTGATAAAGTAATAAGTTACTAATTACGAACTACTAGTTAATCTTTATTGTAAGAAGTATCGTTTTAATGCCCAAAGTAAGACATTCATGAAGATAAAAAACATTATCAGCAATTATTAAAAAGATTTTAATGAAAATTTTGGTGGAGGCGCCGGGACAATTTAAAGCAAATGCAATAATCAAGCTATAGTTAAGATTACACTATAGAGGATTAATAAATATTCATCATTGAAACATATATTACCATAAACCTATCGTGAGGGACCCTAATTTATACCATTTTCTACAATTAAACTACATTTTGTAGTATAATATATAGACGGCAACCCAACATACACCAAATATTACAACCCTAGTAATGTAACTTAATGTAACAAGTTAAAGAAACGTTATCAGGAATTATTAAAAATTTGACTGAAAATTTTGGTGAAGGCGCCGGGTAGTTTAGAACTAAAGCATTAATTGAGCTGTAATTTAGATTTAATTGAAACAGATTGATGAATCTTAATACTTACAACATGTTTTCATATAAATGTAGCTGGGGATGCCAATTTAGATACATAATTGTTTTTTTTAACTAATTTATAATTTGCAATGCAAGATATAGACAACCGAACATACAGCAAATATTACAACTAATAGTGTAACTACAAAGAAAGTTAGAAAACACTATTTCTCACAAAAATAACTCTTATACATGAAACTCTACACTATTCTTGAACAAACCACAACATATTGCGTGGAAATAATTAATTAATTAGTAATTAATTGTACACGCACAAAGGATTAGGAACTGTAATTGCTTTCTGCTGATTCAATTTTCTTAAAAATAAGTCAAAGAAATGAGCTTTTGTGCGACCTTTTTCGCAAACAAGAAGGATCAAACTTTAATGTCGAAATGTAAAATTCATGGTATCTTCACAAATGTTACCAGCAATTATAAAAATTTTTATTGAAAATGTGGTGGAGGACAATTTAAAACGAAGGATGTAATTGAGGAGTAAATCACATTTTAGAGTGAATTGATGAATTTTCATCACTAAAATATACTCTTTCCCTATACATCCAGTAAGGAATCCTAATTGATATAGTTTTTTATAATTAAACCACATTTTGTAGTATAATATATAGACGGCAACCCAACATACACCAAATATTACAACCCTAGTAATGTAACTTAATGTAACTACAAAAAAAGAAAATAACGTTATTCATGAAATTTAATACTGTTTAAAACAAACTACATAATATGACGTAGAAATAATTAATTAATTAATAATAATTTTGCAATATTTTTACATATTTTTAGTTGGAGTTGCTGATAAAGTAATAAGTTACTAATTACGAACTACTAGTTAATCTTTATTGTAAGAAGTATCGTTTTAATGCCCAAAGTAAGACATTCATGAAGATAAAAAACATTATCAGCAATTATTAAAAAGATTTTAATGAAAATTTTGGTGGAGGCGCCGGGACAATTTAAAGCAAATGCAATAATCAAGCTATAGTTAAGATTACACTATAGAGGATTAATAAATATTCATCATTGAAACATATATTACCATAAACCTATCGTGAGGGACCCTAATTTATACCATTTTCTACAATTAAACTACATTTTGTAGTATAATATATAGACGGCAACCCAACATACACCAAAAATTACAACTCTATTGACGTCACTATAAGGATAAACATTTTTCATTTTTTCTCACAAAAATAACGTTATTCGTGATATTTTAATTAATTTATAACTTCCACTGTAAGATATAGACAACCGAACATACAGCAAATACTACAACTAATAGTGTAACTACAAAGAAAGTTAGAAAACAATATTTCTCACAAAAATAACTCTTCTACATGAAACTCTACACTATTCTTGAACAAACCACAACATGTTGCGTGGAAATAATTAATTAATTAACAAAATTTTTAAGGACATCTTCGTTGAAAACCTTTTGCATTTTTATAACTAACATTAAATACAAAAAAAATCTTCCTCGTTTGGAGATAAAACGTCACTCTAATAATAAAAACCTATTAAAAATCTTTGTTTTCATGAAGCTTACAAAATTATAATTGGTCCAAATCAATTTTTCGACTGCTTCAACAAATTTATACTTTTAAAAAATATTTTGCAGAACAACGAAGTGATTTCATCAAACAAAGAAAAATTATTAGTTTTTCTACTATCTTAACGTGTCAACTATTGTAAATAATCCTATTTTACTCATCCCAGCATTATCCTGTTGATAGAATTTATTAAACTTTGATCTTATTATTGTATATTAACTTTGTAACAACTAATATTACCATCAACGTCATTTTCAACTTTAATATTAATTAAGAGTATTTTCATACTTAATAAAATTATTATCCTTTGAGGGTTTGAGCGGGTGGAAGGACGGAAGGGGTGTTTTCCGTTGCTACACAACTTTTAAATTAAATTCCGTAAGCTTGTTGTCTTACGAGGAAGCAACCGTACATTTTGAGCGCGTTTCAAATAGTTCTGTAAGGAACATGTTTTACTCTAATAACGTATGTGGACTGCTCCTACGTAAGGTTTTTGACAAATTGTTTCCTTTAACATTTTCTACGAATTTTAAATGAAGGCGCAGTGAAGATTCTAACAATACTTTTATATTCTTCCGGGGCTGAAAAGGATTACAAACAGAATAATTGTAATTTATAAAGAAAACTGTTAACTTTCAGTATACACGTACTATTCCCAGAGATGTGATTTATTTGAAATACTTGCATTTAAAATGCAAATACAGAATAAAAAATACCAATTTTTAACTTGCATTTAAATACTTTTTATGAGAAAAGCATTTTGTATTTTATTTAAAATACTTATCCAAATGTATTTCATATTAGTAAAATGCAAAATACATTTTTGCCTTCAAATGTTTTGCTAGTATCACCGATCAAACATTATATAAAATGATTTATGAAAGTTGTTAACATTAGCTATTGAAGGTATTAGAAGCTTAAAAATTTAACTGAAGAAACCAAAAAAAATTCTAAACTCCTTTGAAATGGATAATCTAAAATATTGGATAGATATTGTTTTCCGGGTTCAATGTCATGGTCCATAGAATTTTGAAGGTCCAAATTTATATTAGCACCTGCCAAATCAGGAAGGAACTGCGAAATTCTATGAACGACGACAAAACAACCCCCAAAACAATATCCAATTGATATATGCCAACTGTGTAAAACTGAAAACTACAAGATATTGTGGTGTGCTAATGAATGCTTATAATCCAAAATTCCTAGAAAACAATTCGAAAAACTTCACTTATTAGATGAACTCAAAGCTAAAGAAACTATTTATTCCATTTCTTTCTTTTATTACAATGTGTAAAAGATTAGAAACAAAATGGGGTTGTAAATATTTTGATATAAAATGATTGATGGTAATTTAACATCAATTATTATTTGCAACCCTATTTTGGCTCTGATCTTTCACGCTAAGCAAACTATTTTATCACCACTGTCTTTTTTCCAATTAAAAAGGGTAACTAAGACAAATAAGGAAGCATATAGAAGAAGTTTTTGTGGCTGAACTGAAAAAACTATAACATAAAGATAGAAAAACTACACCTCAACCACTTCAAACAGAAAAATATGAATCATACTTCGCTGCTGGTGATACAGTGCAAAATGATCAAATGCCTGCAAGGCTTTCTCAAAAAATATTATTTGAAAGAGGTATTTTGAAAATATGTATTTTGCATTTAGCATTTAAAATACAAAAGGAAAATCTATTTTGTATTTTACATTTGAAATAACAAATCAAAAAAGTAATTGCATTTTGTATTTAAATACTTTTAAAAAACCATTTTGCACATCTCTAACTATTCCACAATTTCCATCACCAGAAACAGTACTCTATTAGGACTAATTCTACCCCTCTTAAATCCTGTTTCGGTTTTCGGTATGCCTCTAATTAGCCATTAATGTCTGATAAGATGTCCTGCCTAACCTATCTGGCCTATTTCTTTATGACTTTCATGATGTTTTTTTTATTTATTAATTAGTAATTAATTGTACACGCACAAAGGATTAGGAACTGTAATTGCTTTCTGCTGATTCAATTTTCTTAAAAATAAGTCAAAGAAATGAGCTTTTGTGCGACCTTTTTCGCAAACAAGAAGGATCAAACTTTAATGTCGAAATGTAAAATTCATGGTATCTTCACAAATG